GTGTTTCTCTGAAATTGGGAAAATGGACTGGCCATATCATTAAAAAAAAAAAAAAAAAAAGAAAAGAAAATAGAATTAAAGGCCTTGTTTATTTTGGTGCAAACAATTCTGAAATCCATGCATAGTTTTTTTTTTATAATATGCATTTTTTGAGAACTCTTTGAAGATCTACAGTGACAGTAAATTTCTTCTGCCAGTCGCTGGCTTTTCTTCCAAGGTTCTTCTTGGTATCTACAGTGTGGAGTTCCTAATTTAATGCTGTGAAACTCATCAGCATTCTCCTTCACAGTGAAGCACTTTGAGACCTGTTTAAGAACTCTTCCTTTGCCCAAGGTCCTGGCTGCGGACCAATGAAGTACAGAGAGGACTGTGAGTCTCTTGCATTAAATTTGGCTTCCAGTGACTTTAAAGGACCTGTCCCTGTGCTGGCACCACTGCCAGGCCTAAAACTAGTTCTGAAATCATTGTGTTCTTACCAGATGAGCCAGATCTGTAATGTGGTCCGCAAATACTTAGCATCCAACAGGTCCGCAAATCTTCCCCTCTTCTCCTGGGGTGATGGTGGGATATAGTTAGCGGGTTAAAGACAAGCGAAGGTATCTCCAATATTTTAGATCATAGAAAATGAGAATAATATGAGAATATGGTGGGCAAATAAACAGTCAGCTCCCAGGATGACAAACCCACAGACAATGGTTTTAACACATGCATCTCTGCCAGTCAGTCTTTGGCTTTTCTTTCTTTTTCTTTTTGTTTTTTTCTTTAGGGCACATGCATTCACTGAGAGCAAGAGCAAGACAGAGACAGTGAGAAGGAAAATGAGAAATCACCCCCCAGGGAGTGGCCATGCCAAAATCCCTTCTCCTCCATGTTCCTCCCAAGAGCTTGGGCATGCATGCACATGTGCCCAACTTGATTTTGAAGCCACCAGGTCCAGAACTTGAACTGCAGTTGGCCATGTGGGAGTCCAGTAATGAACTGCTATGCTATCTGCTGACACGAGTTTTTGACTTTTTATTAGAATCGGCAAGTACCCGAACTCATTGTAACCTTCCCACCTTCTCACCAGCTCTGGTGCAGGGCTGGGGAGGGCAGGCACACCCATTAAACCTAACAATGAAACTAATGGGAGATTCTTTTTATTTTTTTAAAGAATCATTTTATTTATTTATTTGGATCAGAGAAGAACAGAATGTGAGAGAGAGAGAGAGAGAGGGGAAAGTAGAAGGAGGGAATGGAAAGTCTTGGTTTAATGGATACAGAATTTCAGTTTTGTGGCACCAGCAGATGGTGTAATAGTTAAGTCTCTGGACTCCCAGCCATGGTTCAAGTCCCAGACCCAGAAGTTTAAAACTCGGGCTGAGTGTATGTGTGTGTGTGCACGCTCAGAATCCCAAGAGGAGAAGGGATTGTGATGTGGCCATCTCCCCTGGGGGGGAGGGGGTTATTTCTTGCTTTCTGTCTCTCTGTCTCTGTCTGGTGAACACATGTACCGTATAGCAAAAATCTCTCTTAAAAGAAAAAGAATTTCAGTTTTGTAAGACAGGAAGAGTTCTGGTGACGGATGGTTATAAAATAATATGAATGTACTTGACATCATTGAACTACATACTTAAAAATTGTCAATATGGTAAATTGTGTCCTGTGTATTTTACCAAAATATAAAATGATTTGGGGCTGACTACATGACACAGCAGTAATGCACTTGCTACCCAAAGGCGGCTAGATCCCACATCAACCATGGTTTGAATCCCAGGTGTGGTCAACCTGGAACATGCCAGGCATGTACACAAGTACCCAAGGTCCAGCAGGCTGGAGGACTAGAGGAAGAGGACTGCAGTGCGTCTAGACCCTGAGAGAGTGTCTCTCTGTCTCTCTTTTTCTCTCATAAACGTACACATCCAAAAACCCTATCGTGAATACCGAAAGATAATTTTAAAAACTCCTCTGCTCAGTATCCTCTAGCTATCCTCCAATCACCCTCCTCAAAATAGATATTAGACCAAATTGTTTTTTTCAGAGAGATTTTTTTTGCTATGGGACCCGGTGTACTCATTAGAGACACAGAAAGTGAGGAATCACCTTCCCCAGGGGGGATGGTCATGGTGCCATGGGGGGGCATGCCCATATGCCAGGGAATTTGGGGCATGCACCCACACACGCCCGGCGTGAGTTTAAGCTATCGAGTCCAGGACTCGAATCACAGTCGGCCACCTGGGAGTCCAGCAACATAATCATTACGCCGTCCGCTGGTCCCTAGACCAAATTTTTTATAAGCAAGTTTTAGAAAATGTTTAAGGAGGTTCTTTCCTACCTTATAGAAACTATTTCAGAGATGTGAAAAAAATTATATAACAAGATTTATAACCTTGATATCAACATAAGACAAGGTCAGTACAAGAAAAAAAATGATAGGGCCTCGTAGGTGTGTGCCATGGTGGTTAAGGTGCTGGACTCCCACACGGCCAAGCACAGTTCAAACCCCTGGACCTGGTAGCTTGCTTTCTTTTTCTCTCTCTCTGGTGAGCCCATGTGCCCTGTAGCAAATTAAAAAAATATATATGATGATGATACATTAAATAAGTCATTCTTTTAAAAAATAAACAAAATAAAATTATAAAGCAACCTCCCACCTGTAGACAATGATGCCAAATAGCATAACTAGTTCTGCAAGGTGGGTGCCGTTATTACCATTTAATCGATGAGAAAAAGGAAGATCCGGGTCACGTGGCTCGGAGAAGAGGTGGATTTTGTGCCACACCTACTCTGCTCTTTCCTGGCCCTCCCCTGCCTTCAGGGGTAGGACTGAGAGCTCAGGTACCTTTTCTTCAGCCTTCCATGACTAAGGGAATGTCCCTGTGGCCTATGACAGAGGGGGAAGCCCCCAGGAGTCTGAACTCACCAGGATGGGCTCCACCAGCTTCCCCTCGGGCATGACCGAGCGGCTCCAAAAAAAAGCGTGGCCAGGGCAGCCTGCGTGTTTCCGGTGGAGACGTTGAAGCGGGCAGATTCAGGAATGAACTGGGCACAGATTAAGGACATTCGAGTTACCTCCGCGCAGACCCCAGGTGGTGGTGGGGGTGGCTAGTGCTGTCGGGTACTACCCAGTCCTAGCGTCCCAAGACAGGAAGCGAATGCAGAGCTTAAAGGCTCACCGCCCAGCAGGCCTGCTGTTGAACTCAGTTGATTTGGAACAGAAAGGGCTCTTTCCTCCTTCCCAGAGTCTCAGCCGGAATGCCAGCAGCGCTCCAACCTTGTTCCCGCAATGGAACTCTTCCATCCGGGTGGTAAGCAGCTGCTTCCCCAGCCCCACCTTACCCTCCCAACGTCTCTCCTGCTTCGCCTCCTCGGCCCCTACTAGGAACCCTCGGACCTTCCCCTGTGCAACGAACAAAAGGGCAATAGTGGGGGTTCCTACTGTCCCAGACCCACGGAGTAGAGAACTCAGTCCTGATGTGGAGGCCCCAGTGCACTGATTGTTGGCTATTTTGAGCACATTGCTAAAGCTTGAGCATCGGCTTGGATCCCTCCACCTCTCACTCCTCCAAGCAAGGCTGCAGGGTTCTTGCTCAGAAAGCATCTCCCCTAGCAGCACCCTGCCCCCACTCTCATGGCCAGTGGGCAGTTCAGGTCCCCCACTGGTATCATCCTAATATATATATAGCGAGAAATCACTCCCCAGGGGGGATGGTCACGCCGCAATCCCTTCTCCTCCATTCTCCTCTCGGGATCTTGGGCACGTACGCACATGCGCCCAGCGTGAGTTTTAAGCCACCGGGTCTGGGATGCGAACCACGGGAGTCCCGCGACATAGCTATTACCGCTAACTGCTGGTTCCCATCATCCTAATATATTTTTTTTTCACTTCAAAAATATTTTAGGGGCCAGTAGGTGGCATAGTCGTTAAGGTGCTGGACTCCCACATGACTGACTGCAGTTCGAGTCTTGGACCTGGCAGCTTGAAACTCATGCTGGGCGCATGTGTGTGTGTGCTCAAAATCCTGAGAGGAGGATGGAGGAGAAAAAATTGCTCTGTGGCCATCCCCCCATGGGGTGATTTCTCACTTTCTGTCTCTCTGGTAAGTGCATATGCCTGATGGCAAAAATCTCTTTTAAAATATTTTAAATTATTTAATTAAAAATGATTACAGATATATAGAAAATGTAAGACAGCATATTAATGACCATATTTAACAAACATTAATATTTTTTGGAGAGGTTTTTGCTATAGAGTACATGTGCTCACCAGAAAGACAGAGAGAGACAGAGAGACAGAAAGAAAGAAATCACTCCCTGGGGGAATGGCCACGCCTCAATCCCTTCTCCTCCATTCTCCTCTCTGGATCTTGGGTATGCATGCACACATGCCCAGTGTGAGTTTAAGTCACTGGGTCCATGACTCGAACTGCAGTAGACTACATGAGAGTCCAGTGACATAGCCATTATGCCAACTTGTGGTCCCAACAAACATTAATGTTTTAAGATATTTAAGTTCTTCTTATTTTTTTTTTTTTTTTTAATTTTTTGCTATAGAGTGTGTCAGCTTGCTGGAGAGAGACAGAGAGAAAGGGAAAGTGAGAAATAACTCCCCAGGGGGATAGTCACACCATAATCCCTTCTCCATTCTCCCGTTGGGCGCATATGCACACATGAGGCAAAACAAGTCCAAGATTCGAACCATACTGTCAGCCATATGGGGTCCAGCCACCTTAACTTTTGTACCATTTGCTGACCCCTAAGTTCTATTTTTTCTTTTTATAAAGAGCACATGTGTTCACCAAACACTTCCACTGGGAACCTGGAGGGGAGAACGAGGAGGAGCCACGAGTCCTTCCTTACCTTGAAGGCCATGATGAGGATGATGCCAGGAATGGAGGCAATACGGATGAGCCAGCGCCACCCGATGGTGGGGATGACCACAGAGGCCATGCCGATGATGAGCAGGGAGCCAGCAAGCCAGAAAACCTGGAAGAGACAGGTGACAGGTTAAGATTTCTCCTATACAATGTGCTTATCATTCCTCTCAGTAGCCACCTCATCCAGCGTTTGCCATAGTTAAAGGGTGAGATGGAAAAGAGTCTCTGAGGGGCAGACAGCTGCAGCAGTACTCCCAGCACTACCTCGGATGACCTGGATGACTTGGACAAGTTCCTTCACTCTCTAGGGCTCAGTGTGTGGTAAGAGACAACTCGGCAAGAAACTCGGCTAGCAAGAGAACCAGTAGTATGAGTAGAGATTTAATAATATAGGACCAGCGAGTGGCATGGTGGTTAAGGCACTGGACACTTCCACATGGCCAACCACGGTTTCAGTCCTGGACCTGGTGGCTGTTTCCTCACCTTCTCTCTCCCCCCCCCCTCTCTGGTCAAATTAAAAATAAATGTTAAATAAATAATTCTTTAAAAAATAATCTAGGACCTTATGGAATCTTAGACATTGACTTTTTCTTTCCTCAGATAATATACGCACTGGATCCTTACTTGAAAGACACAAAGGAGATAACTGTGAGAATCCTCTCCTGGTTCTCTGCCCTCCAGTTTCCCTTCTCAGAAGGAACCAATATTACCAGTTTCTTAAGTTGTCTTAAGGGAAAAAAGCTGCCTTAAGCATAGATAAGCTAATAAGAATATATTTGGGAGCCAGCAGGGGACGTGGTGTTTGAGGAGTTGGACTTCCCACATGGCTGACCATGGTTAGTCCTGAACCTGGTGGCTTCCTTACTCACTTGCCCTCTCTCTCTCCCTCTCTCTCTCTCTGTCTCTGTCTCCATGAACTCATGTGGAAAAAAAAAAAAAGAAAAGAAATAATTCTAAAAAATGAATATGTTTTGTTCTTTTTTCACAATTGGTACTGTCGTATAATATTGTTCCATACTTTGCTTTCTATTGAGCTGTCTGGAAAGTCATGACACATTTTTTGCATAGAAAAATACGTCATGACTTTCCCGACGACCTAATATTTAAAAATTTATCTGGGAGACTATTTTAAATCAACAAATATAGAGCCCACTATGGCCAGGCCTCATTGGCCCAGAATGACAATATCTCCAAGCACTGGCTTGAGTGTTTTTCCCAATTTAAAGATGGAGAGTAAACAATAACTTCATTACATCTCACAGAGATGGAGAGAAGATAATATATTCTAAGATCCTTAGGTGGCGTCCTCTTCCTGGCTGGCCTTAGTGGCATCTGTCTCTGTGGGCACTTCGAAGCTGCTGAGAGCAAAATGTCTTCCGGAAAGGTCAAAATTGAGCACCCTGTCCCTAACTTCAAAGCCACAGCTATTATGCCAGTTCAAAGATATCAGCCTAACTGACTACAAAGGAAAATATGTTGTATTTTTCTTTTGCCCTCTTGCCTTCACTTCTGTGTGCCCCACGGAGGTCATTGCTTTGTGATAGGGCAGAAGAATGTAAGAAACTCGACTGCCCTGTGACTGGTCCTTCTGTGGATTGTTACTTCTGTCACCTAGCATGGATAGACACACCCAAGGAGCAGGGAGGACTAGGAGCCATGAACATACCCTTGGTTTCAAACCCCAAGCATGCCATTGTTCAGGATTATGGGGTCCTAAAGATGCAGGCATCTCCTTCAGAGGTCTTTTTATTATTGATAAGGGCATCCTTTGGCAGATCACCGTAAATGACCTCCCTGTTGGCCGCTCTGTGGATGAGACTCTGAGACTACTTCAGGCCTTCCGGTTCACCGACCAACATGGGGAGGTGTGCCCAGCTGGCTGAAGCCTGGCAGCGATCCCATCAAGCCTGATGTCCAAAAGAGCAAAGAATACTTCTCCGAACGGAAGTGAGCACTACACCATTGTAGTGCTGGGCTGGGCTGCAGTGGGCAGCCATGAGAACAGGACCTCTTTTGTAATTTTTTTCATGTTTAAAACATAAGACTTAGTTTCAGCGAAGATGTGTGGGCCACGACAAGCCTTTCCTATGTGGGTTGGGGAGGCCACCGTTTGTTTTCGTTGGTGGGAATGGCCTGAGTTGTATTGTGGGGCAGGCCATCTGATGTATGATGCATCAGCAGTGGGACACCGGCCCGTTGATGTGTTTGTAGTTTCTATTAAACTTGAACCTGGGGGTGGGGGGAGGGAAGACCCTTAGGTGTACTAGTTAAGGGGTGAATATCTCATTAGTAAATAATTTTATTACAAAAAAAGAGATTACTTTAGAAAGTAAGAAGGGGTATGTAGAAAATAGAATAATGGGATAGAGAGTGACTTGAATGATGAGAAAGAATATTTCTGAAGAGGCTACTAAGAAGGTCGGTAACAAAGCCATTGCTGTAGACCAGATAACAGGGACCTAGCGTTGAATAGGATAGGATACTAGCCAGATGGGATAAAAGATATATCGAACAGATGGAGGCAAAGGTGACAGGGTTTGCTGATGGACACTCAGATGAGGATCCATAAATACGGGGACGCCACAGCAGAACTTAGTGACCGAAGAGGCATGACGGAGGGGTCTATGATGGCCCTTTTTCGTGTGTGTCGTAGATGAATCAGGAGATAACATTTGCTATTAAGCGTTTGAGAGCAGAAACATGAACATAGAGGCTTCAAGGAGAGTAAAGAGCCTAGTTCTGAGGAGGTTATATTTGAGGAAACATAATACAGTCAAATGATCATCAGCTAATTTGCCACCAGGGCCTGAAGTTCAAGGAGGTGCTTTGTTTTTTTCCTTTTTTTTTTGAGAGGTTTTTGCTATAAGGCATGTGTGCTCACCAGAAAGAGAAAGACAGAGAGACAGAAAGTGAGAAATCACCCCTCAGGGGGGATGGCCACACCACAATCCCTTCTCCTCCATTCTCCTCTCAGGATCTTGGGCACGCACGCACACGCGCCTGGTGTGAGTTTAAGTCACTGGGTCCGGGACTTGAACCACGGTGGGCTACATGGGAATCCAGCAACATAGCCATTACGTTAACTGCTGGTCCTAAGGAGGTGCTCTTGATTGTAGGTAAGGATTTGGGGGTCATAAGGACACAGGTAGCTAAAACCACTGGTGTAGATGAGCTGACCCACAGGACCTGGAAAGTCAAACTAGCAAGGAGGAGCCATAACCAGGAAGCACACCCAGGTACGGGGCAGACAAAAGAGAAAACATCCATGATTAAGTTTGAGCAGGGCCATGCTCATTAAATAACATCATATCCTTAGTGTGTACATCCTTTTTTTTTTTTTTAAAGAGAATTTTTTTTTTCTATAGGGTGCGTGCACTTGCTGGAAAGACAGAGCAAGGCAGAGAGACAGAAAGTGAGAAATCACCCCCCAGGGGAGATGGCCACACCGCAATTCCTTCTCCATTCTCCTTTTGGGATTTCAGGCATGCATGCACACGTGTCTGGCATGAGTTTCAAACTACTAGGCTGGGACTCGAACCACAGCCAGCCATGTGGAAGTCCAATGATGTAACTAACCACTACGTCATCTGCTGGTCCCATGTGAATCCATTTAACAAACATCAAAAGAAATAGGGGCGTTAACAGTTAAAGGATAACATTTAGTGTTATATTCAACTTTTGTTGTTGCCAAAATTCAGTGTACATTTTTAAAAAGCATTCTCCTACTGTTTTATTTATTACCAAATTCATAATGCTTCAGTGAGAAGAATCATTTCTTTCCTGAATCCTCTGGAAGGACAGGACTTTTATATAATGATGACATCAAAAATGGTACAGAGTAGGCTGGCCCCATGACACAGCAGTAATGTGCTGTTCAAGAGAAGCTGGATACCACATGGCAACTATGGTTCAAATCCCCAGCCTAGTCTGAGACATACCAGGTGCATGCACGTGTGTCCAAGATGCTACTGTCTGGAGAGCTGGAGGGAGGAGATCGCCGTGGGGCTGGACCCTGTGGAGGGTGTTATCTCTCTTTCTTGTGCATACACACAGTATCATAAATAAACTTTTTAAGAAATGTAACGAGGTTACCTAGATTGATGTATCTTCTGATTTAAAACCTCTAAATAGCCAGCAGGGGTCTGAGGAGTGTGAGGAGCACCCCTATCTTCTCACCTGAATAAATGGCTCAGCTGGAGGAGGCAATTATGGCATGTTCCCACAGGCCTGGGCCACTTTCGGGCATGCAGACCCCAGTATCCTTGGGTGGGAGGTGAGACTCCCTAAAGGGGCAGTAGCCGGAACCTCCACTGCAGACTCAGAGGAGAGAGAAAGCTCATCCCAGATGCATTCCTGACCTTCCTTTATACCAAGGGAACCAGCATTGGAGTGTTCTCTGGTTACTAAAAAAGGTGCTACAATGTTTAAAACACTACTGTTGGTGCTGTAAGTCCTGGGCTCAGAAAAGGAACTGGCCTTGGACTTGAAGCGTTCCCCTTGCTCTTTGGTTGCACCAAGTAACAGACAGGCTGCTAACCAAAGGGCAACCAACCGAGCGGAAGAAAAATCACGTTCGATAGGAACAAGACGACCAAGTAGAACTCGTGTCTTGCCTTACCTGAGACAAGGGTAACATATAGCCTCGATATTTTGTGGGTAAAAATTCAGTCTTTATGATTAGCCTAAACAAGAAGGAAAAATAAACAGTAATTTTGATTTTACAAAATCAAATAATCTTTTAAAAACAATCATCATTTTCTTGTCACAGAGATGAAGAATTCAAAAACATTGTTCATTATACATCAAATTATAATCAGAAAGCTTAACGTTCTCCACAGAGAACATTAAGAAGTAAACTTACAACGTTGCCTCTGTTTACATCTGTACTCCCAAAATTACTTTATTTATTTATTTATTTATTTTAATTGCCACAGGATACATAGGATTGCCATAGAGAAAGAGAGAGAGAAAGAGAGGGAGAAAGAGAGGGGAGAGACACCTTCCCCACTGGGTATGGTCACACAGCCATCTCCTTTCCTTCATTTCCCCATCTCATCAGGATTTGGGGCATGCACACACATGTGTCTAGCATGTTTTTTATGTTGCCAGGGCTGGGATTTGAACTGCTGTCAGTCATTGGGATCAAGCTCCCTCTGCACACTGTTTAACTGCTGTACCATGGGGTTGCTCTCCCAAAGTTATTTTACAGCTTCTTCAGGTAAGAGTCATCTCTTGTCTCCTTTGCCTTATCTCTTTTGCCAAAAAAAGCATTGGCAAGATATTTTCCTAAGTCTGATTATCTTTTTTCTTCTTCTTTTAATTGCCAGAAGGTTCACAAGGAGAGAGAGAGGAAGGGAGAGTACATGCAGGCATCCCACCATGCGGTGTGGTCACACCATAATCCCCTTTCCTTTATTTCTCTGACTTGTCAGGGGTTTGGTCACATATGCACACATGCCCAACATGTTTCTCCGGCCACTGGGCCAGGATTCAGATTCTGTTTAGCCAGAAGGGATCTGGCCCCTTATACCTAGCCCTCAACCACTGCACTATGGGGCCAGCCTTCCTTTTCTTTCTTTTTTTCTTTCTTTCTTTTTTTAAAAGAAGTTTTTCCCTTAGAGCATCTGCACTAGCCAGAGAGACAGAGACAATGAGAGGGAAAGTGAGAAATCCCCCCCCCCCAGGGGAGATGGCCACATGGCAATCCCTTCTCCTCCATTCACCTCCTGGGATTTGGGGCATGCATGCACATGTGCCTAGTGTGAGTTTCAAGCCAGGTCCAGGACTCAAACCATAGTCAGCCATATGGGAGTCCAGCAATGTTACTTCTATGCCATCTGCTGGCCCCCCACACTGTCCATTTTTTAAAACACCTGGGAAATTAAAATGCACCCAAGAGACGGTAAATAGTTTTCCTAACTAATGATGGAAAACAGGCACAGCATAGTTTAAGTACATATTAATTTTGTGAATAGAAGAATGAAACCATATTTCATCAGTTTTCTAATTGTTTTTCTCTATCACAATTATTAACCAGAGTTTGGGAGGTTTTAACTATTGGGCTATTTCTTGTGGGATATATTTTTTTAAAAGAATAATTAATTTAATTTAATTTATTATTATTATTTGTCACAGGACATGTGCACTTACCAGTGAGAGACAGAGAGGGAAAGTGAGAAAACCAGCTGCCAGGTCTGGGGATCCAGCGCCTTAACCTCCACCTACCTACTGGCCCTCTGAGAGGAATTTTAAATTTCTATGTAGCTTCTACTCCTTTAGGGCTTCAAAGCTCAGCATGATGCTTAACTTACACCCTAGGGAAAAACAATTATTTCCTAGCACATTAAGGCAATAATTAGGTGTTTTGACATCTCCTAATAGTTTCAGGATAATTTGCCCCAAGGCACCCCGGAGAGAAAATAGCCTGGCATGGAAGGACCTGTTAATTTCAGGGGACACCTAAGGACCAGAACAGTTTGCAAAGCAATTTTCATCCCCATGTGCAATAAAACTGCACACAAGACTAAGCACATCAGTCTATCAACACAACTCACCCTGCTTCACAAACAGGGCAACAGCAGCTTACAATGGCTTTTCCCAGTGTTACAGATGCTTATGGCCCAATGAGCTCTTCCAACAAAGTCTCGTGAAATTAATAAGCCGTGTTTGTATGACATTTTTGTTAACTAATACGGCACTGTCTTTGAGTTTTTAGCTTAACAAAATGTTACTCATCTAAAAAATAATGATTGGACCATCCTTGTAGGCTCGTGAGTTTTACTATAGGGTGCATGTGCTTGCTAGAGAGACAGAGAAAGACAGAGAGACAGAAAGCAAGAAATCACTCCCCAGGAGGGAAGGCCATACTGCAATCCCTTCTCTATTCTCCTCTTGAGATTTTGGGTACTTATGCACACGCACCTGACTTGAGTTTCAAGCCAATGGGCCCAGGACTTGAACCATGGTCCATGAATAGTTTCCTCACAATACACATTTTCTCTTAAGTTTTTGAAAACCTCTCCTATATTCCTATATATCAGTGTACCCCTCTACTTACCTCCTGGCAAGTATCACTTTTTTTTTTTTAATTGCCAGAGGGTGTGTGCATGTTCTCCAGAGAAAGGAAGAGGGGAAGAAAACACCTTCCAACAGATATAGTCATGCCACTATCCCTTCTCCTCTGTTTCTCCATTCTGCCAGGATTTGGGTCAAGCATGCACATGTGGCTGGCATGTTTCTCAAGCCACCAGGGCCAGGACATGATGAACCATGGGCATCCATGTGAGATGTGGCTCCCTTAACCCCTAAGCTATGAGGCTGGCCCTCAAGTATCATTTTGGTGAGTGAATTGCTCTTCAAAGAGCAATAAACAACCCATCACTGAAAATACATAAATACATAAAACAGGTTCAAAAATCACCAGCATGGGGACCAGCAGTTGGCATAATGGCTATGTCGCTGGACTCCCATACAGTAAACTGCACTTCGAGCCCCAGACCCGGTGGCTTAAACTCATGCTGGATGCGTGTGTTTGCGTGCCCAAGAGGACAATGGAGGAGAAGGGACTGCAGCATGGCCATCCCTCTTGGGGGATGATTTCTCACTTTCTATCTCTCTGTCTCTCTGTCTTTCTGGTGAGCGCACGCCTTATAGCAAAAACCTCTCAAAAAAAAAAAAAAAATCACCAGCACAGGTGAGGTCTAGAAATTCGCAGCCTGGTGCTGCTGGTCCGCCCGGCACAATACATGCCTTGGCACCTGTAGGTGCTCACGACTCTCCCTCCCGGTTTCCTGGGTGAAGTCTTTACCCTTGCGAATGGCCGGACACGCCGCAGCCCACCATCGTCCGCAGGAAGACAAACCAGATGTACGAGGGAGAGAAAGAGGTCAGCAAGGAGAAGTAGGCTCCCCACAGGAACGAGATGAACAAAATCTGAAGCAACAAGAGAGGGATTATTAACGGGACCTGCCTCAGTACGGGGAGGGAGAACACCCAGCTCTGAAGGGGATTTTTCACTTCCTCCAGTGGCTGCTCTGAGGAGCTCCCCTGCAGCGAGCTCCCTGGTCACGCACATCACCAACGGTGCAACCCTGCTCCCCTGCAGCGAGCTCCCTGGTCACGCACTTCACCGACAGTGCAACCCCTGCCAGCCCGCTGCCTGAGAGCCTGGGCCTTCTTGTGAAGACTGTTCTTCGGAACTGCCCTACTGTGTGCACCCTCACAAGGGACAGGAAACTAAACTTGTACCTCTGGAAGCTAAAAAGTGCCCTCCCAATGGCACAGGAACACTGGGGTGCCGGGTGATTCGACTCAGCACTCCAAGACTTGGGTTTTTGTCTTACACTCCGGAAAAATTAGAGACGCGGACAGAGAGGGTATTGGTGAGGCAGGGAGTTTATTGAAGGAGAGCGAAGGGAAAATAGAGCTCCCAAGAAGGGAGGGGTCCCAGAAAAACGGGTTGCCAAGGTGGAACTGGGGTGTGGGACTTTTATCTGGGTCAGAGAGGCCTTGTTCCGGCTTGTTCTAGGTGGGGCCTGAGTATATGCTCCCCTGTGGAGGGGAGGGCCACAGCTGGATGGGTCCAGTCTCCTCATTTTGGAGTGGGCAGGAAGGAAGGAGGTCTTCTATCTAAAGGCTTTGAGTCATAAAAGCCATTATCTTACTCTCTTCCGGGGATGTGGTGGAGCCTGGAAACAGCCTTTGTCTTGGGTCTGGGTCTTGTTGCCCAGGTCAGTCACTAGCCTCGGCTGCAAGAGGTCTCCCTCCGAGCAAGGAGCCGAGCTGCTGAATCTCCATCTTAAACCTTAGCCATCCTGTGATTCCACTTTGGGCCTATACCCTAACCATATTTTTTCCTCATCAGAGAAGGAAATATTCACATTTTCTACATTGGAATTGACAAGGAAATATCTACTATAGAAAAACCATACTGATATTGACAGAAAAGAATACACAGAAGAAAAATCCAAATCATACTGTGAGGGCTGACCTACCTTCCTGCGCCCGTATCGGTCTGCCAGGAGGCCAAAGATGATGCTGAATACCATGTAACCAAAAAACACCATCTGGAGGTAGGAATGAGGAAAATTGAGTGTTTCTAAGTAGAGTTTCTTTTTTGTTAATAATTATTTTTATTTAACTTTATTTATTATTATTATTATCATTATTATTTTTTTTAATTTGAGAAACAGAGAGCGAAAAACAGAAGGAAAGTGAGATAGCAGGCCACCAGGTCCAAGACACAAACCATGGTCAGCCTTGTGGGAGTCCAGTGCCTTCAACCACCATGCCACCTGCCAGTCCCTCTAAGCAGAGTTTCTTTTCTTTTCTTTTTTTAAAAGAGGTTTTTGCTATAGGGTGCATGCACTTGCCAGAGAGACAGAGAGAAACAGAGAGACAGAAAGTGAGAAATCACCCCTAGAGGGGATGGCCACACCACAATCCCTTCTCCTCCGTTCTCCTCTCAGGATTTTGGGCACACATGCACACACACCCAGCATGAGTTTGAAACCTCCGAGTCCAGGACTTGAACCATGGTCAACTACATGGGAGTCCAACAATGTAACCATTATGCCATCTGCTGGTCCCTCTAAGCAGAGTTTCTGTAAGTTGATTTACTTCATTAACCATTCATCTATTTTTACTGAACATAGACTAGGAAAGTGTGAGGAATAGACACTGAAGAAGGGATCTTCATAAAACTGTCACATACACACTCTTGTTGACAAGTCAGGGCTTCAGAGGCAGATGTTCCTGCTTCTTGTGGACTAATCCCCTGCCTTCGAGACACTGCTCCAGGCAGGAGCAAGGGTCCCCTCCCACCCAAGTCAATCACTTCAACCCCACTCAATTCAGACATGTAGTTGTGCATTTCCATCATAATTACAAATAGACATTCCTCAGGACCAGCAGTTGGCTTAATGGCCTTGTCACTGACTCCCATGTAGTCGACCTTGGTTGGAGTCTCGAATCCAGTGGCTTAAGCTCAGGCCAGGCACGTATGCATGCGTGCCCAAGATCCCGAGAGGAGAACGGAGAAGAAGAAATTGCAGTGTGGCCATCCTCCCTGGGGGGTGATTTCTCGCTTTCTCTCTCTCTCTCTCTGCCTTTCTGGCGAGCACACATGCCCTGTAGCAAAGACCTCTCCAAAAAGAAAGAAATAGACATTCCTATACATTCATGCTCAGCCACCTTCTACACACGTCGAAGCCACGAGAGGCTCTTCCTCTACGTTATTACAACGAACAAACGTAAAGCAAACACCAAAACCAATTATTCATTTAAAAAACTCTTCAGAATGAAGGTGAATCCTAAGAGGAACCTACTTCTTTTCCTTGCTTGTCCACACAATGGCTTGTCCTCCAGCAAGAGGTTCAGACACTGGATATGCTGCCGGCATTTTAGCCGGGCCCAGCAGTAAGCTGTCAGTGCCTTTAGGCTACTTGCTTTGCTGCCTTTGAGCAGTTCCAAGCTTTTCCTGCTTTCTTCTCCTGGGATGATCCCTGACTGACGGTTCCAGGGTGATCAAAGGAAGGGTGTTAGCTGGCACCTCCAACACGTTTTCCCTGAGAAAGCTCTTTCTACAGCCCGCTTCCTCTGTTCCTCTCTTCCTCGCCCTTCATAAGACTCAAGTGCATTTCGTCCACAGGGAATGAGAAAGAAACCATCACACCGACTCCCGAACGGCAAACGCCATGATTCTGGGCTGTGCCCTGCATTTACCAGGACAGAAACCTCGACGCAAAGCCCATGTTAACCCCAAAGCCTGTAAACTCATTCTCTAACCCTGTTTGGGAGATCGACAGTGACATAAAACACTGCTTATGTGTCCCCAGCTCTGTACCTCTCTCTCTCTCTCCCTCCTTCTCTGTCTCTCCTCCCTCTTCTCCCTCTCTTCCCCTCCCCACCTCCTATTCTCTCTGTCTCTGTATGGATCTCTCCCTTCCTCTCTTATCTTTGAAGCCTTTTGCTCTTTTCTGTAGGTATTTACTTTTAGTGTAAAAAATGACTCTTCTGTTTCGGATTTAAGCACTGCATGCAGTTTTGTTTCTTTAGTACTGACTCTTATTCACAAAACACCAGGGAGGGACAAACTTTACCCACAGTCCCTAAGGCTGCTCAGCTAGCACCTGCTCAGGCCAAGTAGTTGACTAAGCGGAGCTGGAGTTAGGGACTGGGAGGCCTGGGAGACCGGGACAGCGCTGCCTCTGCTAGAGCAGCCACGGCCCCTCATGTGAGCAAGGCTGTGTCACTGAGTCCAGAGGACCAGCGCAGAGGTTGGATGGGACTCACGGCAGGCACCAGGAATGACAGACACCAACGGACTGGAGGAAGTGAGGAAACAGGAGCAGGGAACAGCCACACGTCCGGCACGTTTACCTAGAGAAAGCCGCCTGAGCTGGGGCCGCCTACCGAGGGAATTCCGAGCCTCTTTAGGCACCGTTAGGAAACAGCATAAATGCAGCCACTGAGACGGGAGTTGTAAATACGCGTCATGTAATATAAATATTGTGTCGTGAGGGCCAGCTGGGGGCACGGTGGGTAAGGCAGCTGGATCCCGCATGGCCAACTGTGCGGGTCAACTCCTGGACTAGAGACTTGAAAAACTTGCTGGGAGGGACCAGCAGTTAGCATAATGGCTGTCTCTGGACTCCCATGTAGTCGACCGCAGTTCGCGTCCCGGACCCGGGGGCTTTAACTCACGCTGGGCATGTGTGTGTGTGTGTGTGTGTGTGTGTGTGTGTGTGTGTATGCCCAGGATCCCGAGAAGAGAATGGAGGAGAAGGGATTGCTGCATGGCCATCCCCCCTGGGGAGATGATTTGTTGCTTTCTGTCTCCGTCAATGCCCTATAGAAAAAAAAAAAAAAAAAAAGTGCTGGGAGTCAGTGCCTGCGAGCCCAAAATCCCACAGGGGAGCCAGAGGAGAAGAGGTTGCAGCATGGCCAAATCCCTGGAGGGCATTTTCCCACTTTTTCTCTTCCTCTCTGTCTCTCTCCAGTGAGCCCACGCACCCCATAGCAAATTTTTAAAAATTATGTCATGAAATGTAGTTTTGTTAAAGTGACAGATGCTCAAGCCACCCCTGGATCTCCAACATTCTAGCAACTAAGATGCACGTACTCCAGACAGCTGGGTGAGAGCAGGTACAGGCACACGGACAGCTATGGACATCACCCCAAAGACGCAAGGACTGGCAAGATGCTTTCTATTTTTTAAAAAGAATTATTTATTTACATTTGTTATTATTATTACTTAATTTGATCAAAGAGAAAGAGAAAGCAAGCGTCCTGTATCCAGAACTTGAACTTGGCCATGTAGGAGTCCAGCACCTTAACCGCCAAGCCACCTGCCAACTCAGCACGAGGCTCTTTAAATTGTAACTGTGTTATACGTAAAAGAAAATGAAAAACAACCGAGTCACTATTACCAGGCCAAGTAAGAACATGGGTTTACTTTATTTATCCTCTAATACCTTTTCTAAAAGAGAGCTTAAAAACAACAACAGAAAGGGGAACCTGTGAAACAAAATTAATAGAGGATTTTTTTGTTTTTAGTTTGCTATAGGGCACATGCATTCAACCAGAAAGAGACAGAGACAAAGCACCTCCCGGGGCTTCATCCACATGCAATCTCATCTCCTCCTTTCTCCTCTCAGGATTTTGGGCATGCACACACACGTATGCTCCACATTTTTTTTTAAGCCACTGGATCCTGGATATAAACCATGCAATTGTCCCTATGGGATCCAGCTGCCTTAACCACCACGCCCCTGGCTGGGCTCAGTAGAGGAATTTTTAACAAGGAAAATGGAGCTAAGAATAAGGGCAGATTTGCTGCGGTGATTGGGCACAAAATGAGGATCCAAGTTCCTGGACTCTAAGGCACAGAAGGAAAACGACTGGGCCCAGCTGCACATGGTCTGAGAGGAGAGTCCAGGTCTGGTCCCCGGGCGAAGGGGCTTTCTCCTGGTGCCTGCTCAGAGTGCCGGTCTCAGCCACGTGGGGAGGATGCTTTGGTCTCACCATGTGGGATGGTGACGGGGAGTCAGGCCCTCACCTGACTCAGCCACAGCACAGGTAGCAGGTACTCACCGTGGTCACCAGTGCCACCTGCCAGTTCTCCAGCTGCCACTCACAGCGGATGACAGGAGACACAACAGCTATTAACATGATCTCCATCGCCTCGACAACCTAAAAGAGGACGTGGGCAATAAAGCCATGTTATCCCAGCTTGTCATCACGCCATCCCAGGTCTGCCTGTCCTTCACTGTCCCTAGTCCTTAATCCCTGTTCCCCCCACTTAGGACACACCTACCATGCTGGCATTGCCGGATGGAGAGAGAACCAGACAATTTTGGCTTTCGTGGACTTGGATTTTTTATGGTTCTCACACCTTGAGAGGGTCCCCGACGCTTAGGATGCATGTTCCCTTGTGAGTCTGCCATGCTCCTGCATTTGCAGGACGGCAGTATGCTGGAGCTCTGAGGGGGCTAGGCATTGGTGGGGGGTGCCCCTGGCTCCCCCTGGCAGCCACATCAATTAGCTCTGTTGTTTTGTACTCATCTCTGCGAGGATTGCCGGGCATGCCCCCAGCACGTGGAATTTTGAAATATTCTCTTGATCTCGGGACCAGCAGTTGGCGTAATGGCTATGTCATTGGACTCTCACGTGGTCGACTAAGGTTCGAGTCCTGGACCTGGTGGCTTAAACTCATGCCGGGTGCATGTGCGTGCATGCCCAAGATCCCAAGAGGAGAATGGAGGAGAAGGGATTGCGGCGTGGCCATCCCCCCAGGCGTGATTTCTTGCTTTCTGTCTCTCTGTCTTTCTGGCTAGTGCATGTGCCCTATAGCAAAAAAAAAAGAAAAAGAAAAAAAGAAAGACTTTCTTGATCTCAAGAAGCTGAGATGGAGGACCCAGATTCATAAAAGCTGGAGAACAATAGAACAACTAGTGCAAAATAGCACGAGTTCATGATCACTAAAGAATGTCTATTTGGCAAACTTAGTGTGGGCTGTGCTTTATTTTTTTGCAGTACTGGATAGAGTAACATCCTCTGTCCCGGTCTTTCAGGGAAGGGAAGTAGATGCTAGAAAAGAATGGGAAGAATAAGCTGAAATGCTTTATAGATGAGGAATTGTTCTAAGTTGTATCATTGGTTATTGTAAAACTAGAATACATCTTGCTGCTTGCTCTCTCTCTCTTTAAGAATTATTTTCTTTATTTATTTTAATTTGACCAGAGAGGGATAGAGAAAGAAGGGGGGGGGGTGTCTGAAAAAGCCAGCCACTAGGTCTGGGATTCAAACCACAGTCGGCCATGTGGAAGTCCAGTGCCCTTAACCACCACACCAGCTGTCGGCCCCAAGCGCTCTCTCTTTTTATGCTAGACTGTCTCCTGAGAGTGCAACACTTTCAAAAGATGCATCAGAACTTACATGTTACCTCCAGCTCTGAACTGTGTTTCTTTTTCTTTCTTTCTTTTTTTTTTTTTGAGAGGTTTTTGCTATAGGGCGTGTGCACTTGCCAGAAAGACAGAGAAAGACAGAGAGATAGAAAGTGAGAAATCACCCCCTAGAGGAGGGGGCCACGCCGCTATCCCTTCTCCTCCATTCTCCTCTCAGGATCTTGGGCATGCATGCACATGCGCCCGGCGTAAGTTTAAGTCACCGGGTTGGGGAACTCGAACCGTGGTCAGCTACGTGGGAGTCCAACACCATATGCCAACTGCTGGTCCCTGGACTCTGTTTCTTACACTGTTTGGCTAAGGTGTGAGGGTTAGAGCTCTACAGTGTTTACACCGGTCTACCTCTTAGGTATCTCTACCGTCCAACCCTAAGTCACGGTGGGGCTGATCAGTTGTCTTAGGTTTTCCATTCTGCTGTCCCAGTATGGGGTCTTGGTGTATTTTCAGGCCATCTACAAAGGAAGGGCGCAGCACTGGTTTTGCAGTTGCACAGACACCCAGGCTGTTGTGAAAGCCCCTGGCTTGAACTGTCCTTTCCTCAAAACAGCATATGGTAAATGTCTTAGTCTTTTCCTGCTATAACAAAATACCAGAGACTAGATCTTTTTTTTTTTTTTTTTAAAGATTTTAGTTATAGGGTGCGTGGGCTCACCAGAGAGAGCCCGATGGAGGGAAAGTGAGAGCTGGCCATGCCATGACCCCTTTTCCTCTCAGGATGCTGGGCACACGTGCACACACACTTGGCATGATTTTCACAGCATGATGTCCAGAATGGAGCCACAGATAGCCACATGGGAGTCCAGCACCTTGACCACTACGCCACCTGCTGGCCCCGAGACTAGATCATTTTTAAAAGACAAAACTGGATGGCTCCTGCGAACTACTAGGCATTTTGGGGAAACAGAAATGAAGATTTCCCACTGATAATTTGGCCTCCAGCACACAAAACTTGCATGATAGGAAGACCCCTTTCAGGCCTCCTGTCTCTGTGCCTGTCTTTGTCTCTCTCTACCTCTGTCTCTGTCTCCATCTCTGTCTTCTCTCCTTTTTATTGAATTTTTGCTTTTTAGAATTTCTAATTTTTGGGTTTTACTGAAATTTTTTAAATATTAATTTTTTTAGTTTTATTGAAAAGTTTTTATCTTCGTTTTTTTCTCCTCTTTTTCTGTTTCTTGTTTGTTTTTTGCTGTTGTTGCTATTGTTTCCCTCTTTCTGTTTCCTTTTCTACACACTTCTTGATGCTCATATTGAACTTCCAAGTTTGGGAAGAAACCGACCACCCACCAGATGACTAGAAATCGCTGCAGGACCACAAGAAAAATGAGAAAGCAGGAAAATACCTCTCCTCCAAGGGAAAAGGATAGTTCCTCTTCCTCCACACACAGTTCAATGGAAGTCATGGAAATGTCTGATAAAGAATTCAGAACATTTATAATGGCAAAGTTTACAGAAATGGAAGAGAAAAGAGACAAGGAACTGTTGAAGAGGAAGGAGAAAGAAGTTGTTGAGTTCCAGGAGGTGAGGAAATTCTTGCAAGATCTAAAAGAGGAATTTCACACTTTACAAAAGAATCAGATGGAACTGTTAGAGATGAAGGCTATAATACAGGAAGTCAAAATCTCCTTTGAAAGTATTAAAAGCAGACTAGATCATACAGAAAATAGAATCTCAGACGTAGAAGAGAAAAGTGCTAGCCTAGAAAAATCCACCTCAAAGACTGAGAAAAGGGCCCAAAAATTTGAGACTAATATATGAGAAATACTAGATACCATCAAACGTCCAAACATCCAGATAATAGGGATCCCAGAAGGCAAAGAGACTCATAAGGGCATTGATAATCTATTCCATGAGATCCTGCAAGAAAACTTTCCAAACCTAGAGAGGCATTCAAAGATTCAGTCCCAAGAAATACAGAGGACCCCAAATAGAATCAACTCAAGAAGATCTTCTCCATTATAGCCAGATTGACCAAAACCACAGACAAAGACAAGATACTAAGATTGTCAAGAGAAAAATGGCAAGTTACCTACAAAGGGTATCCCATCAGAATAACAGCAGACCTCTCATTGGAAACAATGCGAGCGAGGAAAGAATGGGAAAATATATTCAGAGCATTAAGGGAAAAGCAATTTCTTTTATTTTTTATTCTTTTTTTAAAATTTTCAATTTATTTATTTGCATTCATTCACTGTACATCATTACAACATACAAAATGACATTTTCCATTGGGAAAAGCAATTTCAACCGAGAATTCTGTACCCAGCAAGATTATCGTTCATTTGGGAAGAAAAGACATGAACATTCCCAGATAAACAAAACCTGAAAGAATTTACCAGCACCAGACCAGATCTCCAAGAAGTTCTTTTTTTTTGAGGGGTTTTCGCTATAGGGCATGTCCGCTCGCCAGACAGACAGAGAGAGACATAGGGACAGAAAGCGAGAAATCACCCCCCAGGGGGGAATGGTCACGCCACAATCCCTACTCCTCCATTCTCTTCTCAGGATCTTGGGCACGCACGCACACGCGCCCAGTGTGAGTTCTAAGGCACCAGGTCTGGGATGCGAACCATAGTCGACTATGTGGGAATCCAGCAACATAGCCATTATACTAACTGCTGGTTCCCAAGATCTCCAAGAAGTTCTTAAGGGAGTGCTATGTCAGTAAAATTAAATGTGGACACACAGAAATAAGAGTTCAAAAACTAAGAAAATGGGCAACTTAATTGTAGGGACCATGTCTGGAGATGAATATTATATCCCAGAATTCAATCTGGAAGATCGAACCACAACAGAAGAAAGATTAAGTACATGAGACTGAACTGATGAAACAACATTCTGTGACTTAACTAAAACATTGCTGCTTTTCTTCTAAGCTTTGCTGTCCAGTTTTAAAGGATTTTTGTCCTGTCTTGAGCTGTCAATAGGTGCATGTACCTACTATTTGAGCAGAATACTAACCTGTTTCTAGGCTTTAAGTTTCAAGGAAATATTGTTACCAGTTAAAAACTGCTTTTCTTGAAATTACCAGCTGAACTTGCTATTGAAAGTAGTTAGATTACTTTTGATATTGTGTGATCAACTGGAGGAGTCCGACCCTGCGGGGCCGCAGGATCTGTCTGAGTGCCCTCGCTTCTGGTCGGTTCAGTACGTTGGCAAGGCCGCTACTGTGCACCCCACCCCACCCCGACCGAGGATTTTGCTCCAGAAACTGTGGCAACCTTGCTGGGAAGCAACCCTCCTCTGACTCCCCAATATACTACTATAAAAAGAATTCCATAGCTCTCTTACACATCCTGAGTATAAGATAAAATCTTCCAGGAAGTCTCCCGACTGCTCCCCTTTGCACTGATCACCTACTATTAATTACAATGCTTTACCTCCATGGTCACAATAGAGGGTGGGCTGAAGTTCTTTCTAGGCAGAAGTAATCTTGACCTTTGGAAGGCCCTTCAAAATACATTTAAGGTGGGGAACCAGCAGTTAGCGTAATGGCTATGTCGCTGGACTCCCAGGTAGTCGACCGTGGTTCGCGTCCCGTACCCGGTGGCTTAAAACTCACACCAGGCATGTGTGCGTGCGTGCCCAAGATCCTGGGAGGAGAATGGGGGAGAAGGGATTGCGGCGTGACCATCCCCCCTGGGGGGGTGATTTCTCGCT